ATACTCGAGTTTTCATCATTGCTCGAACACTGCAATTCTACCACAAACTTTTGGCAAACATAGCGTTGTGCCATTTATTTGTCCGTGGCTGTGTGTATCGTTATTCGTACTCTTTTAAAGAATTAAATGAATATTAAAATAATTTTTACATATTTAGCAGTGAAGGCGTATATTTGCATTATGAATAATCCCCTTTTGTATCCATCATAAGGGCACATTAGATTTGTTAAACGATTACAACGCATAGCACTCTATACTCGCTTCCGAACCGAAATCCGATAAGATACATGCATATATACTTGATTAGCAAACAACTTTAGCATATTTAAGACTTGGTACTAAATACAAAAATAAGAAAGGAATCTTGCAAAGTGCGTTGTAATGTACTATAACATCGTAACATAATCGTGCAATAATTCTATGTTAAGTTATAAAACATATTCTCCTTCTTAGCGCCTGCAACAAGTGGGTATTAAAAAATTCGGTTTAAGCCAAATATTACTTTTGCGTTCGTTTGCGTATAAGTTTATAGGGCAATGTTTTTAAGAAACATTGACAACTAACTGCTCAACACTAACAAAGTTATAATGAAAAATCTCAATCTATAAAACGTGACTTGAGTGTTTCAATTACGTATATTTTTCTTTTTCTTTTTCATTTTCATTTTCATTCTTTTCTTCAATTTTCCTTCCTTTTGATTTTTATCATAAATTAGTTCTTAGCATAAGCGAATCACTCGACTCGATGCATAGTAAAAAGAGGATAATCAGAAATTATTTTATATTCAATTAATCGCTTTTTTTTTTTATAAATTCATAAACACTTCACTCATTGCTCAATATCAAAGAATATTTTTGGTAAATTTTTATTGGTTTAAAATTAGCCCACTGTACATTAGTCCACATTTTTGTCTTTGCTAAAAGATGGGCTGCCTTTACACTTGATACGCGCCTCTGCTAAGGTAATTGATATCTGAAGGATACTGAGAAAGAATAACAAAATGCTTAGAAACCCTAAACAAAAGTAGAAAATACAAACATAAGCAAAAACAGAAATCATACTTGGTGTTATAAAAAAATTAAAAAAGAACTTTATTGCTACTCTTTACCCTACGGTGTACGCATACTATTGGCGAAAAGTTATTAAAAAACAAATTGTGTTACAGAAAATTTTTTACAAATTTATTTAAGTGGAGTTTTCTGATATATTTTAAAGGAAATAGCATCCCATTCAATCCATTACTAACTTCATTGTGGAGGAATTTAAAGAAACGACTAATCAAAACAATTATGTTTTACCGCAAGAAATTTTGATAAGATCTTAGAGAAGTTAAAGGCAATATTTAATAGAATGATCGACTGTTTACAGAATATATTACTTTATATGAAGTCTCCTCACATCTACTTCTTTTTCGTCACTAAAACGCTCCCTAAAATATCTGAAAATTGTGCAAAAAAAATTATGAAGAAAAGTGGACGGGGTCTACCCCTACTTTTACCACTAATATAGTGTCCTACATATGTCTAGGGGTTTCTGATAGGTTCTAGCGTAGTTTAAAAGATATCAAAAACTGTACTTGAACAACTTTGTTCAAATTTTTTATAATTTATTTACCGTCTTATACAGATGCGAAGGGCATACCTATGGCGATTTTCGCGGGTGATAAATAAATGATGTAGCAGTGTAGCTAGGTTTTTCTGATAGGTTCCAATATTTTTCTAAACGTATCAAACATCTGCAGTTACGCATTGTTTCTCAAAGCTATTGCAACTCAATTGGACCATTGCGTTGTTTTAGCAATTGTGCTATGATTTTGCGTGAGATTTACTGGCAATAACTCAGCTTTTTTAGTTTTGTGCTTTTTTTATACGTGGTTGCTTCCTAATATTTTCATACATATCGGGTATATTCGTTTCGTCAAAATGTTTGCAACGCGCAGGAGGAAGCATCAGAGACCCTATAAGGTGTATATACTCTTGATCAACACCAAGTTCCAAATCGATTTAAGTATTTCCGTCTGTGTAACGTTTGCTAGCCGCAAAAATGAAGCTATCGACTTCAAATTTAGCAGAAGCCTTGGAAGTAAAAAATGACTAAATTGGTCGAAGAACACGCCCACAGCATTACGTAAACTGAGAACACCTCTGTTTTTCAAAAGGAACATAAAATTGGCTTCTTGCTCACTACTCATAAACTACAGCAGATAAATGTCTAAAGACAAAAATTTACTACCTCCACTCAATGTTATAGTCTTCACAATGTTTAATTTTTTTTTCAATACATTTGTAACGTCCAAAACCAAGCTTCAAAAACCACATAGAGTATATAAATCCTTGGCCAGTTTCTCCCGGTTCGTCTATGCATCTGTCCGCCTGGCCAACTGTGTGGTACCTATGGCAAAGGGTGTGATGATAAATTGGGATTCAACTACCAAAGACACCTACAATTTCTGTTAACAAAACTCTGTTATCGACTTAACAGAGCTCTGTTAAATAATTAGAACAAAGATATAATTGCATTTGAAGGTCTACTCCGTCCATATTAAAAAAGGGAAAATATTTTTGCGGACACTTTATGAATCTGCATGAAAATACCTTTAATACAAACTAAACAAATTCAAATTCTGCCTATGGGAGCTATATTTAACGGATAACGGGCAAATTTGAGCCTCTAGTGCGGCCAAACTAGAAAATGTCACCTATAGTCACATGTATCACGTGAATCTATACAAAAGTGCCTGCCGAATGAGTAAAAAAAATTAAAACTTTTCTTTCGGGAAATATTCTTAGCGATTTTATGAATTTTGGTATGTTGGTGAAGAATGGGTGTAAGTATAGTATAGTATAATACAGTATAGTAAGGAATATTACATTATACAGCATATACACTATACTCTAGCATAGTACAATAATTTTCAGTACAAAATACACTATACTGTAGTACAATA